ATTAATGCCGATATATACATGGATCAGCCGATGTAGCCAACAGAATTAAGAGTATATTTTCTTGCTGCCTGCACATATTTCTGATATATGCTTACATCGGCCCAACCATTCTGCATTTACCGGTTACCTGTGGCCATAGTCTAATTAAGTAGACTTGAGCTCTGGCTGCTTTCTAGGAGTCAGAAAAATATGTGACGATACAGTATAGATATAAAAACGGGAAAAGTAAAAAGAAAGAAAAAACAAAACATTCAAAAGGCGGTTCGTATCGAGCTAAAGGAAAAAGAAATCATACCTGTATTAAAAGAAATGGCCATGTTTAAACAAGTTTATCCTTAAACTTACTTTTTTTCTCTAATTTTATCGGTTGTATAATTACGTAAATTGCTGCCATCGAGGAATCATATTCTATAAAAAGTTTTCATTAACTGCGCAAATATGGTCTTACCCTATGCTAGATTCCCCCTCACACCAAAAATACTTACATAAAATTACACAAGTTTGCCCGTAAAATTCCCCATTTTCTCTTATGTTTTTTATCAAAAGAATAATAAACCCATATAAAAGCTATGTAAATCTCAGAATTTACAGAAAGTTTCCTCTACATGCAGGAATATTATCTTACCTTTCACCTGATTCTAAAAACACAAAGAAAATGGATATAAGAAGCTACATGAGTTATACCAAACATTTCCCATTTTCTCTGACGCCTTCGCCAAAGAAAACGGCGGCCCACGTGAAGCCTCATGGAGTGTAAACAACATCTGTGAGCGAGGAAAAGTGATGAAAATGAGGTCGTTCATTCCAAATATCGTGAGTAACTCTCATAACTCTGACTTCCGAGATTATCTACGGCGCTTATGCACCCCGTGGATCTTGACATGATGTATTTTTCGGCCTGTAATGAGAGAGAAGGGTAATTTTCGCAAGGGGGTCAGGGCAGTGTGGTTTTGAATCGAGGTTGATTTGCCTCCTTTTCTCGTCGTGTTATTTGAGAAATCGAGAGGTTTTGGTGATTGTTCTTGTATTGTGTGGAATAGAATAGAGTAGATAAGTTTGGTAGTGTGACGATAATGAATGGCACAGAGCGAGAGTTTAGAGCTGGCCATACCAGACTTCATTTTTAAAAATCTTGTGTCATTCTTAAAAATCTCTTAGGGATACTTCTTAATCTTGAGATTTCCTTGTTTTAAGTGTATAGGGATTTTATTAAATTAATTAGGTGTGTAGGTAAGTATAGAGAATGAAATCGAACTATGTTTGGTGCCATAAATCTTAAGAATAACTCTTCTGTTCAGTAATGATTCTTCACGATTTACCAGTTGGTGTGCTTCATCAGTTGATATGTAAGTCATTTACTGTAAAACCACAGTACAGACACGTTAAAAGGTATTATTTCTATCCTAAAAGTTGTATTTAAAGTGCTTTCATTTGGCATCAAAGAGACGGTAGCTATAGTTGTAAGCGAGAGGTACTTTAGATAGTAAATGGGCTTCTCTTTGAAGAGTATTGTAGTTAGTATGCAGAATGTGGCACTTATATGATTAGAAAGCTTAATTTTTTGATTTGTATGGAAGAGTTTTCACTATCCAGGCAAGAAAGATCCTTATGTGGTACAGTAACTCCGATACTAATAACATTGAAGGCAGGACAGACTTCTGTTAGAGACAGCTCAGACTTGGATTGGTACTGAAGATGATAATTTCCTCATTCCTTACGAGAGGTTTTAGTTGATATCAAGGTGGGTGATAGATAATGAGCGGTGTTTCTAGCATAAGGGTAGGGCAGAGTAAACAGATATCATATTCCAATTATGAATTTTTTGAAACAGAGAAAAGATTTGACAATATTTTGTAAATTTGCCTGCCAAATCATTTGGAAGTGTAGGTAACACAATGCCAATCATAGTTTCATTGGATCATTAATCACATTTGTCACAGCGAGATTGATAACCAATCACAGATATATCACAGGCTGTTTAACCCCTCGAATCTGGTTGCATCACAGCAGTCATATGGACGAAAGTACGGGTATTAGGCTTTCATAAATGGCATCTATGCCAGGTGTGTCATTCGTAGGCTGGGCACAGGTGAACGCTCGTGTTCGATGACAAGCCTTATTTTTTTGTGATATTCATTTAACTGTAATGCAACCTGTGCCGCTGGTCATAGCAGCCTGGAACACGATGCTAAGCACGGAAGTATCGTCTTCCCAGGTGCCAGCACTCTTCTAGTTATGGTTTGTTTCTCGGTGGGAGTAATGCAAAAGCCCCTTTCTAAATGCCAAGTGAGTCTAGTCACCCTCAAAGTGGTTTGTGCAATCGTGGTGAGCCTTTTCCGTCACCCTGGCCTTCATCATGTCAAGTTCTCATCAACCAGCCCACGGCCATTTTTACTCATGACAGCATGTTCACATCACCTGCCCCTCTTGCCAAATATTTTCATGACATAATTTTCTCGTCACCTGGATCGAAGTAGTTAATATCAATCATTATAGCAACAAGTCATCAAAGCTTTCATATTATTCATTACAATATATTTGATACAGTATTGTTGACCTTTTTTATCTATTATTACATTTCTGAACTTCTTCCATGACCATGAATGATGAACAATTGATACGAAGCACAGATGGTCATGAGTGACATGAGCTTTGTTTTCAGTAGTATTTTATATTTGTCATGTGATCACAGGCAATCCAAGCAGGTTTTTAAGGAAGAAAGCAATGACTTATTTGTATTTTTTGTTTTGTTTTGAGTAGGGAGCTTGTATTAAACTTGTCAGTTCTCATCTAGAACAAAATTTTATCAGTAACTTTTTTTTCAGTAATATTTAATATGAAATACTGATATAGAAATTTTAGAAGTGAAAGGAAAATCATCAGTGAGATAAGCCGTATCAACGTTCCACTTCTTTTATTTCACAATGTCCTTACTAACCTCTATGCACTTTCTATATACCATAGCCACAATTGTTGCTATGTTGCATTTATGATCAAGATAGCTGAATTTGTCCAAAATCAAACAATAGTATCAGAAAGATGTCTTGTTCACCTGAAATCTGTTAGTGCATACCTCAAATATACACATTTGTTTTTAGGATAACCAATTTAATTCAGATTTTTTTTATGCATGAAGTGGAGGTGGAAAAAATTATTGTGCTAGAAAAGGAGCAAACGTTCAGAGACCCTGCCTACCTGTGTAGACTTTTTTCTAGTGCTTTTCTTATGAATGACTGTCATCTCCTTTTACAGGAAGACCCAGCGGATTCAGATGAATCCAGTGATGAAATTCCCCCGGGTGGTGTGTTTCCCCTGGGGGGAATACAAGCGGCTGATGATGACGATGATGAAGATGAGATTAATGGCATCTCCAATGATGAAGATAATGCTGACGCAGACTCCAATGACGAAGTGGATGGCAGTGAAGATTACCCAGAAGTAGTCCAGAACGGTGTGGCAAATGGCAGTGAGGATAATGCCGAGGTGGAGGCTAATGGGCATGCCAACATTGATTCCAGTGAAGAGCTCGAAAATGACAGTGATGCCGAATACAGCGACGCAGATGATGTTAACGCAAATGACAGCGATGCAAATGACAGTGACATAAATGACAGTGACAATGAGGAAGAGGATGAAGAGGACAATGATGAGCAAGCTGTTGAGGATGAAGATGATGATATGGACCACCTGGATGGCAGTGACATTGATGATGAAGAGGTATGTTGACCACAAATTACAGTTTTGGTAATTTTTATGTTTAAAAGTTATGCTCATTAGTCAATATATTTTTCTGAAAAGATAAAAAATATTTACTTTACAATAAGACAGTTGTATGGAAGAATTTATATACGGTTTATTTTCATCTTACAGTTTCAGTGATGTTGATTATGCTTCAGAATGAAAAGTTGTTAAACTTGTGATATGTACTGGGTATAATTTGATTCATATTTTTTTCTTTTACAGGACTTTGTAGAGATGAAAAGTGATTCTGAGGAAGATGTAAGTTTTTTTGTCAATATTTTCTTGTTATTGCGAGATTTTCACCATAGTTAACCGCAATTTATATTGTGGTTCCTTTGTTCATACTGGTATATCTCTCAAGCAAATGATTTTATCAAATACCTGCTTCCATGCCCACATCCTCAGCCATGCCCACACCCACATTCACCCTTACCTTACCTTCTGCCTCCAGTCAGACAACAGCGATTCCGAGGAAGGAGACGAGGCCACAATGGAGAGTCTGTTTGGGATTGAGCCTAATGTCAAGGAGGCGAACGCCCCCCCAGATTATGAGGCCAAGTCAGGCATTGTGGGCCTATGTTTCCATCCAAAGCGCGACCTCATCTCGGCAGCCACCATGGATGGGGACGCCATAGTGTAAGCAGTGTTGTGTGTGTTAGGTTGTCTGGGCTAAGGATCAGGGTGAGAGATTGGATAAATGTGAGGATGAAGGTGAGTGTGAAAATGAGTGAAGGTGAACGTATGAATGAGGAATTGGGTAAGGGTAAAGTAAGATTGAAGGAGTTTTAGATAAGAGAAAGGGAGAGGGAGAGGGAAAGGGAAATAGGGAGGGAAGGGAGAGGGAGAGGCAGAGGGAGGGAAAGGGAAAGGGGAAGGGAGAGGGGACGGGAGAGAGGAGAGGGAAAGGGAAAGGGAAAGGGGAGGGGGGAGGGAGGATGAAAGAGGGAGAATGAGAATAAGCAACAGAAGTCGACTAGATAAGGAAGAAAAAGGAGAAAAAGGTTAAAGGAAATGCTTGTGAAGATGAAAATGTTGATTAGTAATTTGAAGGCTTATTAGACATATGAGACATATGACCTTATCTTTACAGGTATGAGTACAGCCTCGAAAGTGTCAATGAGGTTGCAAAATTCACACATCACAAAGAGCCATGCAGAGCTGTGGGTTACAATGAAGATGGAAATACTCTTTACACCATAAGCAAGGACTGCTCCATGGCTGTTGTTGATATCCAGAAGGAGGCAATCAAGCATCACTTCAAGGAGGCACACGAGGCTCCAATATACAGCTTTCTGTCTATTTCTGAGAGATTGTGTGCGACAGGAGATGACGATGGCACAGTCAAGATATGGGACCTGAGATTGAAAAAATCTGTCTTTGATTTCAAGTGCGGTGAGGGGACGGTATCTTCCCTGATCACAGATGGATCTATGAAATTCCTTTGTGCGTCATTAGTTGATGGGTCCATAGCGGGATTTAACATAAAGAAAAGGCGGTTAGAAGTGCAGGTTAGTTTATTGTGTGCCTTCTGTAAATTCTTCATAGCTAGTTTGATTTAAATTATCATAATATGCAGTAATAAAAATTAGTACTTAGCTATTTTGAATTAGTTATCAGAAGTCACAAAATCCGCATTTCATTATTGTAATGGAAATGCTCTGTATTTACAGCAGTCAAATGATTTTAACAAATCATATTTTTTCCTGTATTCAGAGAAAAACCTGTAAACATGTTTGTTGTTCTTTAATCCAACAGTCAGAGTTTTATGATTCTGGGATGAACGCCATGGCCCTTGTGCGCAATGAATCAAAGTTGGTTGTTGGGTCAGAGGAAGGGACATTCTACATTTTCAACTGGGGAGACTTTGGCTACCACGTAGATAGGTATGGTGGTGTCCCTGAAGAAATCCACTGCGTTCTGCCACTTGCAGACAAGTTAGTTCTGGCAGGCTATGATGATGGGAACATCAGGTATGATATTGAGCTATCTGTTTTTGTACTTCATATGTTCTTGAGTTATTTTAATGTATATGTTCTGCTGGATTCAGTGTACATTCTTTTTTGGAATTATTTCAAATTCCTTTGATAATTATTTCTGTTTGCTCGTTTTCCACTTGTGAAACTTTGCTTGTTTTCCAGGGCTATGCATTTTTACCCTCATCGTTTTGTGGGCGTTGTTGGGGAGCATCGAGATTTTGGTATAAACTGCCTGGAAAAGTGCAGACAAGGGAAATACATTGCCTCCTGTTCCATGGATGGATTGGTGCGCTTTTGGAACATTGATTATCTGTATGGGAAGAAAATCAATCCAAAAAGAAAGGTGAATGTCCATGTTAATCTAATTTATTTTGCCTTTTGAAGTACTTTCTTCTTTCCAAACATTAATTCCATGTAGATTTGCTTTTGCTTAATTTTTACTTTAATACACACAATTGTTCTGTTATATAATTTACATAATAGCCTTTACATGAAACCGTTTATTTTTCCAGGCGAACATAGACAAGAGTCAGTTCAAACTGGAGTCCTCAAAGCAGAGAAACCGTTGGGATTTCTACAAAGATTTACCTCGATTTATGGAATCAGATGAGGAGGAAGGGCCAATCGCAGGTCCCAGTGAGCAGATGGAGGACTCCGATTCTGATTAAGCGGAACTTGGAGTTTCATCTGGGGGAAGATATGCGAGGGCTCGGATTCTCCCTCTTATTTTAAGGTATCATTGTGGTGATTGTCTTTCCCACATGATAAATGTATGACTTGTATTGTACTGTTATATTGTAAATATATTTCCAATGCAGGTTAGCAAATGATGGAAGATGTATTTGTTATCTTATTTTTTCAATAGAGAAAATTTAATAGGGTTCTAGGCATGTTAAAAAGTGATTGTTTTTTCCATATTGTAACTATCTCAGAAGTTAATGCTATTACTCTTATGATGAAAATAATGTTCATGGAATCCATTACAGAAAAGACAAAAGACATTGGTAAAAATTTATAAGATTATCTTAGAATTACTGTAAATGAGTAGTCAGAATGAGAGTTTAAAATATTTATGTAGAGAAAATTCCCTATAGATCTTTAGGATACAGATATTCTAAAGAAATTGTGACTCTCGTGAGATGCAGCTTTAGGGAAGTTCGAGCACCATTAATTTTGTGGTGCCATAAACTAGATTCTCTTTTATAAAGTAAGCTCCAGATACTTAGAATTTGTAATATGTTTTCCTAATAAAACCAAAATAATTAGGTGTCTTTAGTGTACAGTTGGGTGAATGTGTTATTCAAGAGCATTGTAAATTGTACATTGTATTAGAGTCATTTAAGAGTATGTATTTTTTTCAACTTGCAGTTTGATTAACTCTGTGTAATATCCTTACTAGCTTAGACAGTTGTCTACGTACAAAAAAGTGTGCTTCGTAAGGAAAAGCATATTGAGTCTAGAGTTAAGCCATGGGGAACGACATGAGAAACTAAGAACTGAATTTGGATGTAGTTTACGAGAAAGAAGGCTGTGAGTAAGAGATTTTTGTATTCTTAAGGAAATAGGGAAGGTTGCTGCAGAGCAATGCGTTTCGCTCTGTTGGTATTGCTATTTTTTATCATTGTGATTTTACTGTTATTATTATCATTGTTATTATTATTATTATTATTGTTGTTATTATGATTATGATTATTATTGTCATTATTACATTAATTATTGTTATTATTATTACCATTGTTATTATCAGTATGATCTCTATTATTATTATTATGATAATGATTATGATGATAATGATCATGAATTCATCATCATCATCATCATCATCATCATCATCATCATCATCATCATCATCATCATCATCATCATGATCATCATCATCATCATGATGATGATCATCATCATGATCATCATCATCATCATTCATCATCATCATCATCATCATCATCATCATCATCAATCATCAATCATCATCATCAATCATCATCATCATCATCATCATCATCATCATCATCATCATCATCATCATCATCATCATCATCATCATCATCATCATCATCATCATCATATTATTATTATTATTATTTTTATTATCATTTTTATCATTATTATTATTATTATTATTAATTATTATTTTTATTATATTTTTATCATTATTATTATTATTATTATTATTATTATTATTATTATTATTATTATTATTATTTTTGTTGTTATTATTGTTATTACTATTATTATCATTCTTAGAGCTATTAACCCAATGCCGCTGGGAAATTGTTATGTTCACCTTACTGTAGTGTTAAATGCCTCTGCATATAGATGGCTCTGCCGCTTAGGAGTCAATTAACAAATCTTGTGCCGTCACCTTTCCTTGAGTTGGCGTGAAGAATAGTTTTTTTTACTAATGCTATCAGTATTGAAAGTTATTTTTATTATAAACATTGTAATTACTGTATTGTTATTGGCATTACTAGCAGCAGTATCAAATACTAGAAAATGTTATTGAAAATCAAGGAAAAGGTTAAACAGGTGAAACAGGTACTTCTCGTAAGTGGCTCATTGGTGACCTAGTACTTGTGGAGCCATCTTTATGTAAAAACAATTACTTGATTGTTTATGTACGTGCGTGCATATCATGGGCATGACATGTACGGACGTGCCATCCCCGTCGTCATGTGGTTAATTTTTTTCCTTTATCATTTTATTATTTTCATTCTTTGTTTTTGATGCAGAATATTAGTGTAAATATTTTTAAAAGCTTCACTTTTACCTTTTTATTATTATTTTTTAAATTGTACTGGATTTGATGATTATTATTATTGTTATTATAATTATTAGTGTCAGATTATCAATATTACTTAATGGAAATAATAATTATTGTTGCTAGTTGTTACTACTATTTTTTTTTATCGATGCTGTCGATATTATTTTTTATCATTGCTACAGTCTGTCCTCATTATAACAAACCAAAGAGAGATAAGATAGAAGAGTCCATAACAACTGGGAACTATTAAATTCTTACCTGGCTTAAGCTGTGAATCTTTACCCATTGTCAGGAGAAACTGTTGTACTTTAAACGATGAATATATATATATAAATGGGGGGAAAAATTCGTACTCTAAACTACTTTATTTATGTACCCTGACCCACTGACTGAAGGCACAAGAAGACTGGGTCAGATGAATTATCAGTAATATGATGATGTAACTGCAGTATCCCTATAAAAGACTAGTATGTGCAGTACATAATTATCCTGGAGAAACGAAAGAGGAAAGATAGAAAATTGAGGGACACGAGGGAGTGAAGGAGGCAGAGGTGTTGAGGGCTAGAGCAGGTGCCGATATAGAATGATAAAGCACTCTAAATAGTGACACTTTGACAAGAGAAGCAGTAGAAAGGTTGCTTCTACTACGACTACTGTAACAACAACTATAGTGATGGCAACAATGAGTGTCATAATCAGTTACAAAAATTTAAGCAGTGGAATTTTAGAATACAAAAGGTACAGTCTTATCTCCGATTGTTGGGTTACTTTTCACTAGGCATGTTCATTTCTGTCTTGTAGTTCTCAATAAGACATTCATACACAATACTTTTTTGTCATCCATGTTGTTAGTTATCCAAATTTATTGTTAATCCATGAACATTGTAGTTAGGATATATGACCATCCTTGTGGTATGGAATGAAATTTATATAGTGAATGTGCTACTGAAACCCAGATATACAAAATATTTGCAATTTTTTTATATATGGTTTTGAATTCCCTACAACAGATGCAGTATGCCATAGTTATCAGGCTAATAGACGAATGAAAAGAACAGATGTGCTGTATGTCTTTACTTTACTGTTACAAGGAAAAGATCACAAAGCTAGACAAAGGACCTCTTCGCAAGTGAAACAAAGTAAAATGCGACTTTACCATTTATTTATATTTTGTGTCTCAGTATCGAATGGAATCTACAGCACTTTCTTCACTCTTGTGGCCATGAACCATAGCTGTTCAGTAGCAGGGTAGAGATTAGACGAAAATATCCCTGTAATAAATAGGGTCTGTTATAATGAGGTCCAATATATTGAGTTTGGCTGTATCTACATTTATTGTATATGTTATATTAAGTGGTAAATTCTTCCTTTACAAAAAAAAAAAAGTGATATTAAATTTAGTATATGAAGCTGTAAACAAAGTTCTTTTTCATATATATTTAGATCATTTGATATATTTTGGCAGATTGGTTGTGTTGAATTTCGATAAAGAAAATGAGAGTAGTTCACCTTTACTTAGGGT